CTGTAGGGTGGCTGTTGCCCCCCTGGCATAGTGCCCAGATTAGAGCCAGTGAGGTGTTGACCCTTTGCTCATAGTCAGGTCTGAGCCCCCTGAACTGTGCCACTGGGGAAGAAAAAAGATGAGAGGAAAGATCCTTTCTTTAGAGGTTGGAGCAGAGTGAGCTCAGTGGCCCAGCGGAAGGCAGGCTAGAGACAGCCCAAGGACCATCTTTGCCCACTGGCTGCCCGGGAAAGCAAAGGTAGCTCGGCACTGGGAAGATTCTCATCTCCTCTCCTCCCACCCCTAGCATCCAAGTCCTCTTGTTGGGCCCTGACCCATGCTGAGGCACCTTTATGGCCTTGATAGCATCTCCCCAGAAGGGAGGCTGCCCCTCTAACATTGACAAGTCTGGGGCTTAGAGTATGATGGGAAGTGGGAAGCTAGGGGAGCATTTGCTTCATACTTTCAGAGATAGTGAGTAACGAGTGTGCTTTGTATACAATCAAGAGTTGCCTAGGACCGGGCCTCTCAGAATTTCACGTGCATGTGAATCACTGGGGATTTTGTCCTTTTGGATTCTGACTTTGGAGGTCTGGGGCGGGATTCTGCATCTCTTGTGAGTTCTCAGGTGGTGCTGGTGCTGCTGGTCCATAAGCCAACCACCCTTTGAGTAACAAGAGCCTGCACAGTTCCCTAGGCCCTCTGCACCATCTGAATTAGCCCATCAGTTTGTATGTGCTTTTGATGTGCTTGAGGGGACTTGAAAAAAATGTAAGTAGGTAACATATTCCCTTTATTGTCTTGTCTGTAAACTAAGTGGTTATATTAACTCTTCATGGAGAATGTGAAGATGAAAATAAGTGTAATTGGTAATTTAGAGTGAGACCTAGCTCTAGTTTTAAGAAAATGAAGGGACATTCAGAGGTCATGTGATCCAGGCCTCAGCTCGGTGCTGCTTGAGAGAACTTAGGAAATGAGAAGGTTTTCATGAGGAGGAACCCTGTGCCACCATGGCACAGCAGTTTCTAGAAGGGCTGTTACCCTGTGCATCACCGGGTGAGAAGGGCTGTGAACTTGGACTCTGGGTGCCATCTATCTGTGGATCTTCTACTTTGTCTTGTCCCACTACGCTTTTTGTTCTTCATTCCTCTTTCCCCGGTGTGAAAGAGAACTTGAAGTGGGATAGGGAGAGGGTTTGGGAGCAGAGGTGGGAAAAAGAATCGCCTTTTAGACTTAGTCTTTCTTCTTTTTTTCTTGCCTTGCAGAGTTATTTTTGATGTTCCACGATTCCCCACCAGCCAATCCAAGCATTTCCTCCTGGGACCCCCTCCATGTTCAGGGTCTAAGACCCAGAATGAGAATGAGTTTCTCCAGCCAGATGGTCACTTTATGGAAAGGATGCAGGGTCCCCCAGGCCCTTCTGCTAGCCCAGCAGCGGCTGGGGTCTGGCTGCTTTCAGAGACACTACACTTCCCATGCAGACTCAGATGCCAACTCAAAGTGCCTTAGCCCAGGTTCCTGGGCTCCTGCTGCCCCCTCAGGACCCCAGCTAACCTCAGAACAACTAACTCATGTGGACTCGGAAGGACGGGCAGCTATGGTAGATGTGGGCAGGAAGCCAGACACAGAGCGGGTGGCTGTGGCTTCAGCCGTGGTCCTCCTGGGGCCTGTAGCCTTCAAGCTTGTCCAGCAGAACCAGCTCAAGAAAGGAGATGCCCTGGTGGTGGCCCAGCTGGCTGGAATCCAGGCAGCCAAGGTGACCAGCCAGCTGATCCCTCTGTGCCACCACGTGGCCCTGAGTCATGTCCAGGTGCAGTTGGAGCTGGACAGCACACGCCATGCCGTGAGGATCCAGGCATCTTGCCGGGCTCGGGGGCCCACCGGGGTGGAGATGGAGGCCCTGACCTCTGCTGCAGTGGCCGCCCTCAGCCTGTATGACATGTGCAAGGCTGTCAGCAGGGACATTGTATTGGAGGAGATCAAGCTCATTAGCAAGACTGGTGGTCAGCGGGGGGACTTCCATCGGGCTTAGCGCCTGCCCTTCTTACCCATGGCCCACCCAGACCTGGAGCTGGGATGCAATGTAGGCTGAAGGAAAGATGTCAGGTTCCTTTAATCACAGTCACTGTTTACCTTGAGCAGTAAATCCGAAGTCAGCCTGCTCTACTACTAACAGGCCTGCTACTAGATGATCTCTAATCATCTAGGTGGGGCTTCCTTTCTATAGGGAGGATACCAGCAGGCTCTTAAGCCTTCCAGGACACTAAGGTCATGGGAGCAGGACTACAACAAGCAATGCTAGATAACTGAGAAATCATGTTCTTTGTGGACTATTTCAGACAACCAGTTTCCGACAGTCCAGCCCAGAACTTTTCCTTCTCCTTTTGGGTTCTCTCTTCTCCTACTTTCCTGGGGAGAGATTAAGGGCTTATTAAGCAGAGGGGCCCACTTTGAGGAGAGCAAAGCACAAGTTTGCCTGAGGAATGCATCCCAACTTCTCCCCAGCAGCTCTGCCTCCCTGTCTGTGAAGCCGCAGCCCGGCCCCGTCCTGACTTCATCTCTCCTTCTGCCCAAGTCTGTGTCCCATCAGACTTGCTCAGCTTAACAGTTGCCCGGTCCTGCTGGCCCCCTTTCCTCAGGCCTCCCTCCTCTGAAACAGGATGTGCACACGTGGGCCACAGCCCCAAGGACTCCTCCCGGACTACACAGCCCACACCTGGCCCTGCTCACGGCTGTTCCACCCACCCCTCTTCGTTCTGGAGCATATCAGGGAAAGAAGAGTTGACGATAGATTGCCTTCACCCTCACAGCGCACAAATAAAGCTACGATGCCAACTTCTTTGCAGACACAAGAATGAAGACTGTGTGTGGGTAGGGCACTGGGCTGCTGCAGTTTCATGGGGAAGGGTGCACCTATCAACCCTATCCCAAGACACATTTCCCTGGGGGAAGAAGAGGAGGGACCTGGAAAGGCCTAAGGGCATATTCTCTGTATAGCCCCACTGTAGGAGAATAAAGTAGAGTGGGGCGGGGGGGGGGCATAGAAATGGACCATCTAAGGGAAACTTTGTCAGGTGGTGGCCAGGGGTGTTCAAAGCTCATTGCTTGCATCACCAGCTATTAGAGATCAGAGAGGGCAATTAGAGGGTCCTGGTTCTCATCCCCACACACACACTGTTCTGGCCTGCTGGGCTCTCTAACTTGGTTGGATGTCTGAGTCCTCAGTGGTGCCCCCTGCCTGCCTCCCCTCTGCCCTATGCCAAGGTGTGCTGGCAAATGTTTAACAACCAGCTCTCTGGAAAATACAATTTCTGTGATATAAATACTCCCATGTTGAATAATTTCAAGCTACCAATATGTCAAATGGCTTGCAAAATTCCATTCCTGAAAATGTAAACAATTGATTCTCACAGAGCTGGTACAAGCTGGCTCCAGCACACCACCCCCAGCCCATCCCAGATCCCCTCATAGGAAGAAGGCACAAGTTTAAAGGCAGACGGGGTAGGGATGGTATGAATTTAATATTTTTTAGTATTACAATATATTCTTATAAAAAAGGTGCAAGTGAAAAAGGACACTGCAGATTTTGTCCATTAGCCTCATTTGTCATCTGAGGCAGCTGGTGAGAATAGCCCTGGCATGAAGGCATCCCTGGTAGAGGTCGGGGGAGATGGTCACAGCTCCCCAGTTGGTGGAAATGGGATGGGAGTAGGGAGAGGCTGGACCAGACCTTTCCCCATTCACCTGGAGAATTTTCTTCTCCCACTGCCCTAAACACTTGATTTCCATCACAGGGGAGAAATGCTGCTGAGAAGGTTGTGTTAGGTTGATGATGAATTTTACGTTGGCCACAAAATTAGCTGGAGAAACTTATCTAAAGGTGGCAGGAGCGGTGGGGAAGGGCATGAAAAAAGCAAGACCAAGAAACATTAAGAGGCTAAAACATTTAACATATTAAGGACCAGCTCAGCCATCCCCATTGGGCACCAGCCCCTTCTTACTCAGTTGAGTATGAGTCCGTGGTCCAAGGCACTGGAGATCTGGCTACAGTGGCATCTAGCACTAGAGCCACTGGCCAGATCTAGAAAATAAATAGAAAAATATCTTTCAGAGTGAGAAGGCTGGGCTCTGGAACAACATATTTGTGTCCTCTGTCAACAGTTGAACCAAATTCTGCTTTTCTGAAGATCAAATGTGTCTTGAACAGCTTCCATAGTCCCTGTCTTCTCAGGTGTGTATCCAGTCTTCCATGGTGGGTGGGAATGCCAGACATGCTTGTGGAGCCATCCCCTGTTCCCTGCCCCTTTGGGGGGTTAGGTTGACATCAGCCTGGCCGGTTTGGGAGAGGACCTTTAGAGGCCTCACCCACAACCTCCCATCTTCCCCAACACCTGTCTTGCAGTGGGAGCTCTTGGGGGTGCAGATGGGTATAGCCAAACTCTGTGCAGCTGTTCTGCCTGGAAGCCTTTATCTTGACCTCACCTGGGTTCCAGGATGGCCTCTTCACACCTGTGTCAGCCAGGCTTGCACTTGCTCAGATCCCTCCCACCAGAACACACGCGCCACCTGCCCCCTCAAACCAACGCACATGCTTGGCTCGCCGACCCTGTGTTTCTTCCCCCACAGCTACACTACGGTCCCAGCCCCAGGAGTCTGATGCAGGTGAAAGGCAGAAGATAGGCAGCTGAGAGTGGGCCCAGCTCACCAGTCTCCACTGGCAATAACCCGGAGCCAGGGATTAGGTTGGAAAGTGAGAAACACAGGGAAGGGCAGAAGGGCCAAGAGCTGGTCGATGGGAGAGGTCAGGCAGGGTCAGTCTCACAGAGGATGAAAGGCCAACTCGGAGCGTGGTATTGAAAATAAGAGCCTTGATGGAGTTTTAGAAGAAAAACTGTCTAGATACAGCCATCCCATCCACCAAGGCCAGCACAAGATGAACAAAATGGAAGGTGGGAGTGGATGGGAGGACCGGAAGGAGCCCTTTGCAGGTCAGGCTGAAGAACCAAATTGGGTACCAGAGGTGGGGTGGCCCCCTCTCAGCCTTCCTCCTCCATCCCCAACCCCCCAGTTTCCCTTGCCTGCTCTGCTGTTCGCCCCATCCGAACGCCTGAGAGGAGATACCCTTAGAGACAGCATGTTAATGCGGAGGGCAGCTCTGGCCCACAGACTTCTCAGGAAACAACTCTCCAACGCCAGTGGACACATGGTTCCAAGTGGCCACCTGCAGGCTGAACAGAGGCCGCTGTGGCTTCTGCCTTGAGGCTGGTGTTCGAGAAGGGGTGGGAAGGCCTGAGCAATTTATATTAAATAGAGAGCTGTGGGATGGAGCTAAGCATTCAAGTGCTGCCCTCTGCTGAGGGGCTATAGGGGACTCCAGGGCAACATTTGAGGTCACTGTCTGGCTTCACAACAATGGCCAGGTGTCCAGGAGGTGGGGACATGGGAGATGCCCAAGGCATGAGGTGTGGTGATGAATGAGGTCTTTCTTGAGCCCCTCGCCAGATTCATCAAGCACCTGGTAGTAAGCCATAGCTGTGGAAACCCAAGGTGAGTCTTCTAGGATTGTGGATTAGTAGACAGGATGGCAGTGAGGGTAGAGAAGGAAGGGAGAGAGACTTAAGACATACAGGGAGAGGCCAGAGGACCTGGGAAACAGACACTGTTACTCTGTCCTGATGTCTTTGGTCCCTGCGTCATCCTTCCAACATTGACTGTTTTCTGGAACCTACCAGAGCTGATCTAACTAGAATATATAATGCCTCCTCTGTTTCCGTTCAAGAGGAAAGTTTGCCCCTAGGTCAATGTTCTGTTGAGCCTCCCTTTGAGAGACAGGAGTCTGGATTCCCTCACCAGATTCCCTCTCAGGGGCTCCCTCCATCATGCTGCACAGGAAATCTGGACAAGGCTGTGGACCTCTCCAGTCTAGATCTGGAACTGTTCTGTGCTAGCACATGGGTGCCCATGGTAGGGGATAGGGAACAGGGCCCCTTCAGCCTGGGGTTAGCTGGCCCGAGGCCTTCCAGGGATGTCTAAGTCAGCCTCAGAATAATCCCTAGGGCCAGGGCGCAGAAGGAATCATGTGAAGGAGATGAGAGGAGCCCCTTAAGGTAAGCGTGGGGAGTACACCTGGTCCAGCCACACACAGCCCCCCACCCCAGGACCCAGCCCAGGGCTCTAAACCAAGCACCAAATGGCTTAAATATCACCACCTACTCCACTCAGCCCCATTCTCACCCATCCCTGTCTCCCGGCCTCCTGTGTGGCCAGTTCCCCAGGTCAATAATTTAGCCGGTTTATTGCCCGCTCCCGGGTGACTTCCAGGGCCTGGCTCCCTGATCGCTTGCGGCTGCGCTTGAGCTTGCATAAGTCCTTGTCGAAGACCTCCCCAGAGCGCAGAGCTGACACCAGGTCATCGAACTCGCCTCCCTCCTCCAGCGAGCTGCCCGCAGCCAGGACCTTCCGCTGCCGCTGCCACCGCTCACGCTCCCTCTGCTCCTTCAGCTGTGGGCAGGGGGCCAGAGGTAGGAACCCTCTCAGGGAGAGGCACTGAGGCCAGGGAAGCCCCCCAGCCCTGGGCTAACTCCTAGGCCATGGTCATGCTGCCTGCCTGTATCTGTTGGCCCCACTTTCCTCCTGCCTAGGACATACAGGCTCCCTGCCTCACACCATTCTCTTCCCTCAGGCTGGGAAGAAGTTTCTCTCTCCTGGGGCTGACATCCAACCCCTATGATGTTCCTCAGTCCCTGCCTTCCTCCCACACACCCCAGTTTGGGGGTGCTCTTCCCAGGTAGCACCCATCTCCCCTCAGTCCCAGGCCCATCACGGCCCCTCACCATGGCTTCCATGCGCGCCCGCCGCTCCTCCTCCTCCTTCCTCCTCCTCATGGCCTCTAGATCCTGCCGGGCCTCTGAGAAGGCCTGCAAGAAGGTGTCAAAGATGCCAAAGAATTCGTCCGGCTGCATCTTGCTGTCATGCTCCCCGAAGTGCATCAAGGCCTTGGCGAACTGTCAAAGGAGAGAACAGGGTTGGTGGAGAGTGCCTGGAGCATGCTGGGCTCAGCCCTTGAGGTTAGCTGGGTTCTAGCCAGAGCAGAACCCAGTGCAAGGCTGGGGACTGTTGGCACAGGGGGCAGGGCTAGAAGAGGCGAGAAGACACCCCCATTATCATCGGGATCAGAGACAAGGCTAAGGAGAAACAGGTAAAGAGTTGGGTTCACTCACAGTCCACCTTACAGCCGCCCCTGAGCCTGTAAGGGGTAGGCATGAGATCAGGGGTATAGACCTTGGGAAGCCCTTCCTGAGGTCAGGAAGAGCCTGGCAGAACTCAGAACTTCAGAGATCCTCTAGTTATCAGGTGAATAACCCCTCTGTGCCTCAGCTTCCTCCTCTGTAAAATGGGAATAATAGAATCTACATCATAGTGGTGTTGGGGAGTTAGATGAGTTGGTGGCTATAAAGGAGTAGCTATACTTATATATGCCAGGCACTATTCTGACTTACTGAGAGCTACCATTGTTAATTCAACCCACTCAGTATCCTCTAAGAAAGATCTCATTACTCAAAGTGTGCTTCCTGGACTAGCAGCAGGTTCACCTCCTGTTGGAAACGCAGAATCTCAGAGCCCAGGCCTCCTAAACGAGAATCCGTGTTTTAATAAGACCCCCATACATGAGGTCTATGGGCATGTTAGGGTGAGAAGCAGATAGAGGCAGAGTAATCATGTCCACCGCTGAGCTGTGGTGTCAGAGTCTAACCCAGTGCTATCACTTACAGCTGGGCAATCTTGGGCAAGTTACTTAGCATCTCTGATTTTAGTGCTCATATCTGTCAAGTGGGAACTAAAACACTTAACATGATGCCTGATAGCTGATAAATGGACCATGATCTTTGCGGTATGTGGTTATCATGGCTTGTCTTGTTTAGAGTGAGGAAATGGTTTTCTCAAAGCTCTGTAACTCTGGGTTGGTCCCTCCTGGGCTGTCAGTGGTAGGAATGGGTGATGGAGCTTGTTTAGATAAGGCTGGGTTGGCAAGCAGTGGGGGTTGGGGCACCCTTACCTTGTCCCTGGCCTCATTTAGCTGGTCCTCCAGCTCTGAGAAGCTGAAGCTGGACACCGTGATGAAGTCGCTCATGACGGGAACAAACTTGTCATTAGGCTCCCGCACCTGGCGCCTCTGATACTCCAGCTCCTGAGGAGGGAGGGCGAAGTGCTGCTTAGACTGGTGCCAAGATGAGAGTCGGGTGCAGGGGTCACCACGTCTCCCATCCTTCTTGTCACTCACAGGACATTGAGCCCTTTGGAAGAGGGAACACCCTGCGTCTCAAAGTTCTAAGGATGGCAAAGACTATGAGCATTAGCAGCCCGCCCACCCTGCTGTCTTTCTTTCTGTAGAGCACTGAGACCCAACGTGTGACCTGGGGCCAGCAGCATCACCTGGGAAATTATGAGAAATACAGACTCTCAGACCCACAAGATCAGAAGCTGCATTTTAACAAGACTCATCGTTACAAGACTTCAGGTGAGTCACGCACAAATTAGAGACATTTTCCTAAAGCTCCCAGCTGATTCAGAGGCTGCTGGCCCATGGATCCCACTTTGAGCAGCACTTAAAAGGCCTATACAATTGTAAATTTGGAAGTCATCTTCCCCCACCACAGTGGCAACAAAATGTTCTTTCTCATCCTTAATCTCAGTCTCTCAAATCCATTCTCCCCTTACCCACTGCCTCTCTCCACAATGAAGATGGGAAGGGTCTCTTGTTCCTAGGTTTGGGGGACCTTCGTGGTCCCCATACTGGGCCAGTCTGGCTCACTTGCCCACTACTCTACTGGTGTTTTCTGGAAGGCTCGGGCCAGAGATGGTATCAGCCGAGAAGCCATCAGAACAGGAATGGTGGGAACAAGAGACCTGGGTCCTCCACCGGCCCAGGAAAGAGGCAGAGAGACATAAGGAAGAACCTTCTGAGGACATCGGTCCCACTGCCACATTGTGTGCTTCCCGCCCCTAGCTGGCAGTCAAGGGATGAGGATTCTCTTTGCCATGCACTTGAATCCAGTGTAGGCATCGGTCACATGTATGGTTCATTCCACTCCACTGCCAAATAAACACCAAGTTGGACAGTAACATGGGTATAGTCTCAGGTGACCCCTTTTAAAAGGTTCAGACTTAAGCCCCAGTAATCCAATTATCTTTTGGGAGGGCTGACCCTGTGCTAGAAGCTGTACCCACTGTGCCCGTTGTTTTTCACCCCTGTGTAGGAGCTTAGGGTGCAGTGATGAACAGTGTTTGCCGACAGCAGCCCTCACCCAGGTAGGCACTGACGAGGTACTCACCACCTCCACTGCTCTCAGGCCCCTCCTGAGGTTGCCCACCTCCTTCTCCAGCTCTGCTAGGCTGTGAGGAGACACAGAGGGAGGGGAATGAGGACCATCACCTCCTGCCTTGAGGTGCTAAGGCTGGTTCAGGAAGAGGGCAGAGCCAAGCACAGTGGCCTGGGAGTCGGTGAGCCTGGGTTCCAGCCCTGGTGTGGCCACTGATGGCCCTGACAAAGCACCTCCCCTTCGTGCCTCTGTCTGTGCATCTATAAATTAACAAGGTGAAACCTGCGTTCTATAGATCTTTCCAGGTCAGAAATGTCCTGCTGCAATATGAGAACGTTTCCAACCTGTGGCTTCTGGCTTAGACTATTTATTTTTATTACTACCAGGTAATGCTTATGAGCTCTTTATGTGATCCTGCAAGCAACAGCATTCGATACCAGTGAGCCATGTACCACTATGTTTCTAGTTTTCCTGGAGATGACATCTATCACCTAAATGTTCAGGTCTAATTTCTTGCCTAGCAGATGCTATTGATGCCCCACCCACATTTCCTTGGACCATCCATTGTAGGGCATAGCCCCAACTCTTCCAACTGTATGCACACTCTCTTTTTGAGGCCAAGCTCCTTCCACCTGTACCTGTGGCCAGAGAGTTATTCCCTGCCCCTGCAGAGCCCCTCAGCCAACTTACTGAGAAGACATGCTGTCTGATTGCCCCAGGAACCTTGCCCTTCGGGTGGGAAAACTGAAGTAAGTATTCCACACTGTTTCCCAGCATTCCTCATGGGGTTAAACACCAATTGCCGTGAGTGGTAACTGGCGTAATAATGTTTGTTACTGGCATTCTTTCTATCTCTGGCTCATTTCCCCATTCTTCTACTGGTATTTTCTGGAAGCATCTCTGAAATAAGGATTTAAGAGCAAATTGTCTTTGTTTGGTTTTCCCAGAAGCAGACCCTGAGACAGGATAGGTAGTCAAGGAAGTGAGCATGTTCTCAGAACACAGCAACTGTGGTGGTGCCCATACAGTCAGCACAATAAACCTCAGCATTCGCATTGTAATGAGCTCATTCAAGCAAAGCTATCTGCAGTAGGGACTTTCCCCTCTAGAAAGCATGCGCATTTTGATTTTACCTATCCTCATACTGGCCCTTTGCTCATTATATAAGAGTGAAAAAAAAACACACCCCTAGGTGGAAATGTAAGATGCTGAGACATGCAATATATGAAAAAGCACGCATAGCTACTACACATGTGCACCCAGAGCCTGCTTCCTAATAATAGTTCTTCCCACCTCCTTATGAATTATCATGTAAGTCTCCCATAATGGGAGTCTTCCTAGTGCCAGTCTTGGCTGTCTCATCCTTACAAGAAGCCCGCCCTGAATGCTCTCTCTCTCTCTCATGGTGTCCTGTCTATTCTGCACCTAACTTACAAGATATTCTTCTTGTTTTGCAATACATTGTTCTATGCTATACCCCCTTTGCTGTGTGTCTGTTTAAATTCTTTTAAACTCAGAAGACAAGAACCGAGGTCTCACATCAGCCATCATCGAGCCCAGAGTAGACCCCAAAAGAGGAAAGTAAGACAAGAATGAGGGTCATGATGGGGAGAAGGAAGTCTTGGAGAGGCCCCTCACTTGACTTTGGCAGCTTCTGGAAGATGCTGCAGCTCTGAAGGCATGTTCAGAATATCAGGAAAATGCTTCTCCAGGATCATGATCAGGTAATGGAGCAGAGAGATGTTTCTGTGGACGAAAGTCAGGTCAGTGGTAAGTGACAGAGGAAACTGGGCACGAGGGTCAGAGGGAAACTAGGATGGGGTGTTAAGAGAAAGGGGTGATGAGTCTTAGGATGTGCCCGTCCTAATAGAGGGAGGATGTGAGAGGCCAGGGTAGGGTGAGATAGAGGCCAAGGAAGTGGCCAGGAAGGGAGGTCCTCACCTGTCGATGCTAGACTTGGTGTCAGCAATCTTGTTGAGGCTGGCCACCCGGAACCCGTAGGCGCCCCCACGCTGCCCTTTGTTCATGAAGTTGCCTATGGCTAGGATGACCTCTAGCATCTGCCTTAGACGCTTGCTGCGGACCAGCTCCCGGGAGGCCAACAGGATGGCTGGGAGAGGAAGCACAGGTCAGAGCCCTGCATGGGCTAGGCAGGGCAGTGGTTCCCATTGCACCCCAGGAAGATGCCACCACAAAGTTCAGAAAAGGGGCTGTCAAATGTCTTCAACTCTCAGTGAGGCAGAGATTATACCCACTGCTCAGCAGACCCATCGATTTCACATTCACCCACCTCCAGGGGAAGCAGACACTTTCACTAAGGCCAATTCACCAGACACCCCATTTGTAGGACATGCCAACTCTTCCCAAGAAGATAATTTCAGAAGATCTTTTCTTACATGTACTTAAAGATTATTAAGAAGGCCGGGTGCAGTGGCTCACGCCTGTAATCCCAGCACTTTGGGAGGCTGAGGCAGGGAGATCACTTGAGGTCAGGAGTTCGAGACCAGCCTGGCCAAAATGGTGAAACCCCGTCTCTACTAAAAATACAAAAAATTAGTCGGGTGTGGTGGCACGTGCCTATAATCCCAGCTGCTTGGGAAGCTGAAGCAAAAGTGTCACTTGAACCCAAGAGGCTGAGGCTGCAGTGAGCCAAGACTGTGTCACTGCACTCCAGCCTGGGCAACAGCATGAGACTGTCTCAAAAACAAAAAGAAAAAAAGATTATTCAGATATTCTTTCCATGAATATACTCATAAATACGACACTTTTACTTTTCTAAACCTAGCACTTAGCTTCAGTATTTTACCTATTATGGGATTGCTTCTGCCTGTCTTGAAATGCTATATTCTATTGGTTTTTTGGAAAGAAAAAAAAAAAATCATCAATTAAAGAACATGTCCTCGATTATAATATTCTATTATTTTTGTTCTATAAAATAATGGCATGCTTTTCAGTTGATAGTGTCTAAGATTTGATGAAATAAGCTACTTGACGTACTGTGGAATGTCATTTTTAAGATTTTTCCAACCTTTGGGCATCTTAACCATTTTCCCCCAATGCTCTAAATGATATCTTTGCTAGAAATACAAACTAAGCTAACAGTAACCAAAACTTCAATAATTCATTCTGCTGTGTGCGCTCTGGCCCTTCCTCAGCTATGATGTCTTTATGGTGGGTGCGCAGAAGGGGGACACAAATCCTGAGACTTTCTCTACTAGTTACAGAATATGATTTTTGAATATTCAGTGTGGCAACAAAAAGACCAGATTATCCTGTGATCTATGGCTTATGCCAAACTGAACATGCTTTAAGATGCTGCTAGGAAGATAAAATGAAAATGACTTGGCTAAAAGTTTGTAGAAAGCTTTGAACACAGTTAGAAATAAGTAACTGTTAAAAAGAAGCTGTACCAGCACTTTTGGAGGCTGAGGCAGGCGGATCACCTGAGGTCAGGAGTTTGAGACCAGCCTGGCCAACATGGCGAAACCCTGTCTCTACTGAAAATACAAAAATTAGCCGAGTGTGGTGGCACACGCCTATGTAACCCCAGTTACTCAGGAAGCTGAGACGGGAGAATTGCTTGAACCCGGGAGATAGAGGTTGCGGGGAGCCGAGATCACACCACTGTACTCCAGCCTGGGCAACAGAGTGAGACCCCATCTCAAAAAAAAAAATTGTAAAAATAAATAGTAAGGTTCGTCAGTAGCTTTTAAGTTGAACACGTACATACTCTATAACCTAAAAGCCACATTATTTTTGGTGAGTATTTGGGTTGTTTCTAGGTTTTTTAAATTCCAAATCAAATGGGTAAATTATGGTGTATTCATATAATGGAATACAATGCAGAACTGAAAATGAATAACCCACTGCTACACGTAACACTAGGGACAACTCACAACCATAATGTTGAGCAGAAGTCACCAGCATGAAATTATTCATACTCTATTATTCCATTCATATAAAGTTCAAAACAGGCCAGACACGGTGGCTCATGCTTACAATCCCAGCACTTTGGGAGGCCGAGGTGGGCAGATCACTTGAGCCCAGGAGTTTGAGACTAGCCTAGGCAACGTGGTGAAACCCTCTCTCTACAAAAATACAAAAATTAGCCAGGCTGGCAGCATGTCCCTGTAGTGCCAGCTACTTGGGAGGCTGAGGTGGGAGGATACCTTGAGCCCAGGAGGCAGAGGTTGCAGTGAGCCAAGATCACACCACTGCCCTCCAGTCTGGGTGACAGGGCAGGACCCTGTCTCAAAAAAAAATAAGTAAAAATTTAAAAAATAAAGTTCAAAACCGCTAAAACTAATCTAGCAGTCAAGATGGGTTTGACCTTCAGAGAGGAGGGAAGGGGTAAAGTTTGGGAGGGGGACATGAAGAAGGCTGCGGGGGGTTGGAAGCTGTATTTGTTGACCTGGGTATTGATTACACATGTCGTTCCCTTTTTTAATTCCTCAAGTAAGACTCTTAGGATTTGTGTACTTTTCCATATGCATGTTATGTTTCAAAAAAAGTTTATTTAAAAAGAATACTTAGGAAAGTTTTTGGCAATTTATATTGGTTGGGGTGTTTTTTCTAAGGTTTATATGCTATTTGGAAAATTTGCAAAGGAATCCTCCTAAAAATGCTAAAATGTTGGCAAAACAGAAAATGACAAGAGTTCAAAGGAAATCAGTGTAAATGGGAAAACGCCCAGATGCAGTTCTGACATTTTAGATATATTCACAAGAATAATATATTCATGAATATATTCATAAGAATATTACATTTGCAACCATATTCATCTTGACTACATTTGGTGAATGTATTTATAATAAGAATCGGTAAATGTGGTGTATTCAGCAATAAATATATTCATAAGAAGAACATATTCAAGAATTATAAGTTCATGAATATATTCATAGAAGAACTGGAAAATTTGTCAAATTTGGTGAACTGGCTTTTGGCAAATGGACTCAGAGCCCTTGCTGGGGTTAGGAGGGCAGGTGTCAACAGCTCATCACCTAGCTGGGATAGGCTAAATCTTAGCTCTTCCAGGAATACTTCCTGGGAGAACCGGAAGGAAGAATAAGAATCCCATCTTTGCACACTCCTCTTTTCTCCACCTACAGTCACACACACTGATCTGATTCTATAATACACAACTTCAGGCATCTCTTTCCTATCTAGCTCTTAGAGGAAAGAGACCTGTGTCTGGTCTATACAAGGACAGCAGCCATTGCTATACAGAGCAATTATTATAGAGCAGAGCGGTAGAAGAGTAGCTTTCCGCAGCAGATCTTGCTATCCCAAACACATCTTACTTGGCTTAGCTTGATATCAAAGGGAGACTCTTTCCTGAGTATCCACTGACTTTTTTTTTTTTTTTTTCCTTTTTTGAGACAGAGTCTTGCTCTGTCACCCAAGCTGGAGTGCAGTGGTGCCACGTCGGCTCACTGAAAGCTCCGCCTCCTGGGTTCATGCCATTCTCCTGCCTCAGCCTCCCCGGTAGCTGGGACTACAGGCACCCACCACCATGCCCGGCTAATTTTTTTTGTATTTTTTAGTAGTGACGGGGTTTCACCGTATTAGCCAGAGTGGTCTCGATCTCCTGACCTTATGATCCGCCCACCTCAGCCTCCCAAAGTGCTGGGATTACAGGTGTGAGCCACCGCGCCCGGCCTCCACTGACTAATTCTTAGGCTCCTGGGAGCAGGAAACTGTGTGAGATTAAACCTTTCTGGTGGCTAAGCTACTCTGGTTCTGAATCTCCAAATGGCAATTGCTCATGTTTGTTCCACTGACCCAAGATATACAAATAGTTGTGCACACAGGTCTTGCGCTGAACCCCTTATTTGTGCTGCATGCTCCAAAGGCAGTCTGCAGCAGGATGAAAGAAAGCTGTGAAGAAGATAAGGATTCACCCATCACCAGGGCAGGAGATATGGCCAGACCTTGGAAATGGAGAATCACTGCTGTTATCTATGCTTACCACCTGTAGGTCCCTTGCTGTGTGTGTGTATGCGTGTGTGTGTAGTGTGAGGGGCAACGAGATCTGATTACAAAAAGTGTCTGCCTTTAACTCTACATGTTCCACCCTATCTAAAAACTCTCCCTGAAGCATCTCAATGGATTTCAGGAAGGGCTACTCCCTGGACTGGGCATCTCAGGGAGTACTGACTGGCCCTGGTGTCCAGCAGGGGGTGCCCATGCTCTGTTCTGCCCCCAGCCTGGTAACCTCAACATCCTGGTAACAGGCTTTCTTGCTCCACGCTTCCGACCCTGTCCTCTCCACAGATGAGCCTCCCAGCCTCTCCTGCTTATTGCCTCCTGGGTCCACATGTCTGCCCACCATCCTGACCTCCTGCCTCTCCCAACAACTCCACACCCCTCCCTACTCTGCCATCAGCACAGGCAGCCCCTGGGAAGTACTAGAGGACAAGAGGGAAGGGACTGATTTTGAAGATCAGCCATCTGCATTCCTACCCTGGTTCCACCACTCACCAGTGTCATAGCCTCGGGACATTAACATAGCCCCACTTTAGAGAGGAGAGAATGGAAGCACACGGAAGTTAATAATAGCACCCACCCGTGGGATTCCTGTGATGACCAAATGAGGACCAACCAAGCAGAGTGCTTCACACAGTGCTTGGCGCGTGGTTCTCATTGAACTACAAATTTCTCATCTGGAAATGGCCTGTGTTGGAGGTGTTCCCTGACTCAGAAAATCAGATGCCTCTAGAAATCAGCTTGTGCAGTTTCCTACTTTCTGAATGGCTCACACTTAAACTCACGTGCCCAGAAGTCTTCTATGAGCCTAGTACCTCTCAAGTAGGGTAAAGACCGATGAGCTCAGTCCCAGCCAGGCATTGTTGTAGGTGTGGCTATTATTATCTTTTCTACCTTTCCATCCCATGCTGGGGCAGATTTCAATAGATGCCCCACCTTGGAGAGCTTGCATGCTGAGGCATAAGGAACATGTCACAAGGTTGGTGCATGTGCTAATATAAGCAAGTGCATATTTTTATAATCATTTTACATTTTGTCTTTGAGGTTTTGCTTTTGCTTTGGGGTTGAGAATAAGCAAGGGGTTTCCCTCTGCCCCTGTTCACTGGCTCCCACCCACCCTCCCTTTCTCAGATGCCTCTCCACTCTAAGCCTCCTGCAACCCTCAGCCCTACCTTCCACTTTGGGCTTTGCCTCAGCCAGCCGCTCCTGGAATTTCTTCTTGAAGAAGAGGGCTTGCAGTCGCTGCTGGTAGTGGTCAATCCTGTAGACAAGGTGAGCCATGTCTTGAGGTATCCCACCCCTACCCAGGCCAGCCCCAGCTCCAGGAGCCAGCTCCGGCCTCCTCTCGAGCCTGCCCACCTCCGTTCCCTTCCTCTTGGCAGAACCCCACCTGCCCCAATCCCAGCCCCACCTGCCAAAACCCCACCTGCTCGAATCCCCGCCATGCCCACGGCCCCAACCTGCTCATTTCATAGAGGAAGCGGTCAGCGCGGGCCATCCGCTCGATCTCATGCTTGTGCTCCTCCAGGAGGTCAATGTCGCTCTTCTCCGGGATGAACTTGAGGAGCTGCAAAGAGCAGGCGCAAGTCACACAAGCAACTGGTGAGCAGCAGACATGGGGTGCGGGGTGTGAGAAGCACTTGACTCAGGTCAAGATGGGGAGGGTGCCTTGCAAAAGAGAGACACCCTTGTGTGGACAGATTTGTTTCATCTGCCTGAAGGGGATGACAGGGCACCCAGCTCTGAAATTCTTTTTTCTTTTTTAAAATTCAGATGTAACTGATATACAGTATTTCTTTCTTTTTTTTAAAGATAGGGTCTCACTCTGTCCCTCAGGCTAGAATGCAGTGGTATAATCATAGCTCACTGTAGCCATGACCTGCTGGGCTCAAGCAGTCCTCCCACCTCAGGTCCTGAGTACCTGGGAATATAGGCGTGCAGCACATACTGGGTTAATTTTTTTTTATTTTTTATTTTGTAAAGACAGGATCTCACTATGTAGCCCTGGCTGGTCTTCACCTCGTGAGCTCAAGCGATCGTCTCACTTCAGCCTCCAAAAGTGCTGAGATTACAGGTAGGAGACACCACGTCTGGCCTAAAGTACCCTATTCTTCAATGTACAGCTCAATGGTTTGTCTTTCCTTTTAAACAAACTTGAGGTATAATTTACGTAAAATAAAATGCACCCATTTTAAATGTGCAGTTCAGTGATTTTTGTCAAATCTCCATCCATTGAATCATCATTCAGATTAAGATAGAGAACATTTCCATCCCCCAGGAAAGTTATTTTGCATCAGTTCAGTAAGCTGTTCAAGTGAATATAGGCTCTCAGCTGAATTCTAGGACGTTAACCAGATTTGCCTGTCCTTGAACTCATGCTGTATGCTCTCTTTTATGTCTGGCTTCTCCCCAGCATAATGCCTAAGGTTCATTCATGTCATGGTCGTTTGTTTATTGCTGAGGATTCTACTGTATGAATATACCACAGTCTACTTATTCACTTTCCTATTGATGGACAGTTGGGTTGTTCACAGTTTGGGGGATTTATAAATAAAGTTGCTATAAATAGAGTTGGCCCCTGAACAACACAGGGTTGAACTATGCAGGACCACTTGTATGTGGATTTTCTTCCGCCTCTGCCGTCCCTGAGACAGCAAGACCAACCACTCCTCTTCCTCCTCCTCAGCCTGAAGACAATGAGGATGAAGACCTTTAAGATGATCCACCTCCACCCAATGAACAATATATGTATTTTCTCCTTTTAATGATTTTCTTTTCTTTTTTTTTTTTTTTTGACAGAGTCTCACTCTGTTGCATAGGCTGGTGTGCAGTGGTGCTATCTCAGCTTACTGTAACCTCTGCCTCCTGGGTTCAAGCAATTTTCCTGCCTCAGCCTCCCAAGTAGCTGGGACTACAGGCAACGCGCCATCACGCCTGGCTAATTTTTGTATTTTTAGTAGAGATGGGGTCTTACCATGCTGACCAAGCTGGTCTTGAACTCCTGACCTCAAGTAATTTGTCCTCCTCGGCCTCCCAAAGTGCTAGGATTAAGGCATGAGCCACCATGCCCGGCCTTCCTTCTAATGATTTTCTTCATAACATTTTCTTTTCTCTAGCTTACTTTGTTGTAAAAATACAGCATATAATACATATAACATAAAAATATGTGTTAATTGGTTGTTTATCTTATCAGTAAGGCTTCTGGTCAACAGTAGGCAATTAGTGGCTAAGTTGTTGGGAAGTCAAAAGTTATATGTGGATTTTTGACTGCACGGAAAGTCAATGCCTCCAGCCCCCACATTATTGAAGGTCAACTATATTCTTGTGTATTTCTTTTAGTCAGTATTTGTACTCGTTTCCCTGGAGTTACACCTGAGAGTGGGATTACTAGGCAATAGGGTGGGTGTATGTTTAGCTGTACAGTGCACTTCCAAGTCGTTTTCCAAAATAATTGTGCCACATGAGAATTCCAATTTCTTCACATCCTCATCAGCACATGGCATTGTCAGTCTTTTTAATTTTAGCTACTCTGGTGGGTGTGTGGTGCCCCCTTACTGTGGCTGACTATATTTCTCTGACAACTAATCATATTGAACACCTTTTCATATGCTTATTGTCTATTTGGAAATCCTCTTTCATGAAGCGCCCAAGTCTTTTTCTCATTCTTAAGTTGATTTCTTCATCATTTTCTCATTGATTTGTAGAGTTCTGTTCTGAATATGATCTTTGTTATACGTATGTATAGCAAATCTCTTCTAAGGTTTGTCTTCTCTTTTCACTCAGTAACCGTGCCCTTTGATGAACAGAAGTTCTTAATTGTAATGAAGTCCAACTGATGATGTTCTCGTGTGTGTGTCTTTCCCAAAGGATCCCAAAAAAAAAAAAAAAAAAAACTGAGGGGGAAGAGATTTGGGGAAGATACCACTATTCCTCATCTGACTTTGCCTTGGGAGCCATGGGAGAATGACTCCTGGAGAACACGCAACCTTTTCCAGCTTTCCCCCAGAAGGGCTGGCCCAGGGAGGTTTCTATAAACCTTCTCCCTAACTCTTCCAGCCTGATTTTTCCTTGACCCAAAAATCGTAGCCTCTCTGGGGGCTGTTGGGAAGGGGCATGGCTGCCCCCTGGGTTCAGTTCCCCTTCCTTCCCACGAGGGTCCTCACCTGCTCCAGCATGTCCTTAGCGAGGTCCTCCTGCTCATCCATCTTCAAGATGGCCTGCCGGATCTCCTCGTTAGAAAGCTTCAACCTAAGGCAAAACCCCACCTCAGTCCAGGACAGCCTTCAAACCTTCTTCTCCAAAAGGTACCACTCCGCCTTCCCTCATTCCCTAACATGGACTTGGGAATGTATTTAATAGTACTCCCCCTCACCTCCTCTACAAAGCCTTCTTAGACTAAACGAGTATGATTCAGTCCATAAACTTGATAATGAGCATTTTAGTGTCGAAATAGAGACGTGAGGGTCTCTGTTCTCTTGATAATCCATCAGAGCTGATAGGGGCCATTTGGGAGTAAAAGAGATGTCTTCAATGTAGACCAAAGGGACAGGGCAACGAGTTCCTGATCCTTTTCCTCCTCCTCATGCTTAAAAAATGCACAGCATCTCCACGGGAGGACAGGATTATCGGCAAGCCACTAAGAGGGCAATTTCCTGCTGCCTTCGTTCTCAGAACACAGACTCGCTCTCAGTCTTCTGACAGCGCCTCAGCTCCCACACAGCTGTCCCAATCAGTCTTGCTGTCTGGGAGATGGAGAAGCCACACAGCCCCATAGCCCTTCCCTGTCACCTCCACATGCATCCCCATTGGGAACCCTGGGGATTCAGAACTCTTTCCACCATCCAGTGGGGGAAACTGAGGCCGGGGGGCTTGTGAGAGGAAAGGGGGGAGGATGTCTCAGAGGCAGCTGGGGCAGCACTAAGAATAGTATGGGAGGTGGTGCCCTCTGACCCTGGCTCAGGCAGGAGGCCCCGGTACAGAAGCTGTGCTGTTAGCGCAGATACTGCCCTGTTTGTTCTGCAGCCGCGGGAAATGCTTAGGGGCTGAGATCATGCTGCTCAATGGCCTGAGCCAAGCGAGGCCCTCCGTGGGCTTAGAGCAACTCAGCCGCCAGATGCTGACCAGGCTGGGCAAGGGCCTCGTGACTGGGCAGTTTCCTGCCTGCAGAGCCCCGAACTGCTGCTCAAGGCAGGTTCCCAGGAGACAGTTCTAGATCAATGCCCTCCCCTCCCAGGGGACAGCAGAGAGGGAGAGGCCCAAGACTGCCATCACTCCATTCCTCCACCCCCTTTGTGCCCCAGGCATTCAACTCAACCACCTTCTTTTGCACATACTTGGAAAGAAGGATGATGCAGTTTTGGGCCCTCCGGCCGTCAATGACCGACAGCTCTTTGACCTTGCGGGAAGCCAGGTAGATGTCCTCGGTGGAGCCCAGCTCTTTCTGCAACCAACAAGTCAAGTGGACGGTTGAGGTGTGTGTTCCCTAATCCTCCTCTTACCCACCCCACAACAGCCACCTCCTACCAATCCAGGAATGCTCCTGGCGTGAGGGGAAGGGGGAAGAAAAAGACAGGAGAGAGAGGAGGGGGGCTAATGGCTAGCTTTAAGAGAAGGTATCTGGGACTTTTCCATAGGCTCCAATGGGTTGGGGAAGGACACTGAGGAGTCCCCCAACCTTTCTTTTTTTAAGAAATTATCCATTCTGGACAACGAGGGAAGGGGCTGTGCCAGTGGGTCAGGGCATGACTGATCCCTGTGGCTTTGGGCAATGTGATGTAACCTACCGTGTCTCCCACAGAATCAACTCCCACTCCCACTGCCCAACCCAGAGGCCTTCCTCAGGCTTATGCTGAGAAGCTGGTTGCAAACCCCCAGAGGGAACAGTTACTGACTCCTAGGGACTTTAGGCACAGCCCAAGGTGCCCAGGTAGAGAGCATCCACAAGTTCAGAGGTATGGAAACTGAGGCAGAACTCTCTCCTCTGAGTCCCAGCAGGCAGGTTCCAGAGAAATCATTGATCCCGCCCCACTCCTTCTCTTGGACCCCTGGTGAGGTAGACAGGAGGCTGTCTAGTGTGCTGTGCTTCCTCCGGGAGCTTCAGGGGCCACCTTGCATGGTTATCTGTGTGAACTGTGTAGTGCCTACCCTGTGTGTCCTTACAGGAAAGGCTCTCCTTTGGCCTGGTGGGTAAGACAGTAGACCTAGAAGCCTTCTCCTCATTCCAGGAGACATTGACCTCCACTGCTGCCAGGGGTCTATTTGATTACCTCCCTCTGCTACATTTCCTCTTTCTCTTTGGGGGCCCTCTCCCATACCACCCTGTATGAATGGGGGATAAGGTAGAAGGTGGAATGGACAAGTCCTCTCTGTCTGGCCCAGTACAGAGCAGCAGCCCAGGACAGCAGTTAAAAGTTGGAGTGGTCAGAGCCCCGAGAGTAACTCACCTGCTGAGAAGGATTAGTTATCAGCTCCTAGGCGGCAGCCACAGCCAACAGAGAATTAAACATGCACAACATTAGCCAAGACATTTGGGGACCCAGAAATAGCATGACAGACAGGGGCATCCCTCAGCATCTACACTGTCCACTTTGTCCCAGTGAGACCCATGGTTGGAGACAGGCACCCGTAAGCGGCACTAGACAGGAGCTGCTTCTAGCAGACATGCACTCACGGAGAAGCCAAACAAAACGGAGATCAGGCAGCTCCTCCCATCTGCCCGGTGGGACCACCACTCCCCAGTCAGGGTAGACCAAACCCCTGAGTTCTCCCACCCCAGGCTTTGCTGCCTGTTCTTCCTTTTCCTCTGCTGAAAATGTGCAGAGAGGGTAGAGGACATTCCTCTATCCTGGGATGAGTTCACCTTTCTAAATAGGGGAGGAGTCACAAATGAACTCTATCTGGAAGCTCCAGAAAGTTGTGTTTATTGAGGCAGCGGAAAGCAAGTGTCCTTGAATTTGCTCATTGTCCCTCATCTGTCCTTTGATGTACAATGGGAACTGAAGAGGCACAGCCCACACCTCTGTTCTCCCTGACACCGATGGAGTGGAAGCTACCAACTCAAAACCCGCATGGGGCATAGAGAAGACCATGACTCCCAGGACCTCCCCCGCCCCACAACCAGCTGTGAGAGGAGGAAACAAGGTTCATACGGCCTCCAGGATCCACACAGCAGCAGTCCTGCTGCTGGGATTTCAGTCCCAGAGACTGGATGGCCCACTGAGTGAGGGGAGGCAGGTGATTGCACTGTGTGGGCTCAGAGAGGTGAGAGGGACAGGACAGGAGGCCTTTCAGTCTTAAATCTTCTCAACTCACCAAGCTGGGATGCCCCAGACCCAGTGTGTCCAAAACCCATAACCTTCTTTCCTGACTGGCCCCATCCCAGCCTCACTTCAGGGCCCTGGAGCATGGGTAGGCTGGGCCAGAGCCCTGTCCTGCAGAAAGACTCTCAAACGAGGAGGTGGCCTGCGATCACCAAGCCTGGCACGCTTGCCACACACTCCTCTGTCCTCAGCCCCACTTGTGGAGAATTGGCTCCCAGAAGCCAGTGCTCATAAGAGTTCCTTTCAGCTCCAGCAGCCTTAGCTGCCAGCCTGACATGGGCATGGGGTTAAAAATGTCTCCTGGAATTAGGAGTAGAGAATGTGATGCTGTGGGCACCCACATTTAAACAAACAATCATCTGGCCAGAGCCCTAGGAGCGGCTGCACGTGTCCTCGGTCATCCACAGATCGGGGCTGGGCAGAAAGTGAGCTAGGGCACCCTCTCCAACTCAGTAGGGAGCCAGGCCACAACAGCCAGCCATTGCCAGGACCCGCTCATTGGCACCGGGGAAACCCTCGAGACTGAGGTCCTAGGCTAAGTAGAGAAAACAAGGAAGATGGTAGCCCAGCCCCAAGAGGGATCAGTCCCTCTGGGGCGGGGCCAGAGAGAAAGCAATTCCCTGAGGCTTCTAAGCTGGTCACTCCCTAAATTGACTTAGAGGGAAGGTCCCCCGCTGTGCTAGTTGCCATGCGGATTCCTGGGCCCCAGCTCATCTCCTGAATCACATTCATTTGAGGGTGAGGTCTGAGAAGCAACCCTTTTGGCAATCCCCACAGGTACTCGGCACAGTTTGAGATTCCCACCTCAGGAACGCCCTGCGTTCTGGCAGCAACTCACCCCATACTTTCTCTGTGAGTGGAGGACCAGACTTGCTGACAGCCACCTGTACAGAGAGCCTTGAGAGCAATATCCAAGGCCTCCCTAAGCCCAGCCCCAGCCCCAGCCCCAGCCCCCTGAGTGACGTGGAGCAGCACCTTCTGCCTTCCTTGCAAGGCAGCATCCCCTGCTCGGTCTCACAGAGGTGTTGACAGACAGAATGTGGTGGAAAAGTGGTTTGAGAAGTGATTATGCCTTCTAAGCCTAGTCCCTGAATCCTGGGCCAGAAAGAGCAAGGGTTCACAGTGGTCAGGCCTTGTGACTCTACCTCCGATGCTCCAGGATGGAAGAGAGAAATGGACAAAACACCGTTTCAATACTTGGTGTATAAATATGAACCATAATACAAGGATGTTTCCCCCTATAGCCTGTGCACCTCTACTTCATACCTACATCCTCGGCAAGGATAAAATCATCACCTCATAAAGAATAAAATCATTCAGTATACATGAGAGGAAGGAAGGGAAGGAGGAAGGGAAGGAAGGCAAGGCAAGGCAAGGCAGGCAGGCAGAAAGAAAACAAGCCGAGGTTTGGCTTCAAGGGTATGGTATATGGAAGTTAAAACCCAAGAGGCCAGAGGGTGTAGGGTCTTACCTGGTGCCTCTGATAGGCTGAAAACATCTTTTCAAAATCCTCTAGGTCCAGAATCCGAAATACCTGCATGTCATCAATCTCATTCCATACGGTGCCAGGGACACGCTCCTAAGATTCAGGGTAGGGAGAAGACCCCACGGTTGGCCCAACTCCGTCATGGAGATGCCCCATGCCTCCCTAACCCCACTTATTTCCCAACTGCACATACTACAACGACCAGGATTTCAGACCTTCAGAAGGGAGTCGGTTGCTCCCCTCAACTTCCAACTTTCTTGAATACTCTGTTCCAGGGTAGAGGCCAGAGACAACCCCCTTCTCCTCCCTTGTGCATGGAGCCACATGTAAGCATGTTCTAGAAATCACTGGGGGTGCTGGGGGGGATGGGTAGGCAGTAGGAAAGGGGGTGCACTTCACTTTTTCCAAAAGCAAAGTCAGAAGCTGCGCTCTCAGGGTACTTCACACAGGCCCACTCCCCCTAAAGGGCAGGGTGCCTGGGAGTCACTCCTGTCCTTGGCTGCCATCACTGGAAGATTAAAGCCATACGTATTTGTGATCCTCAAAGCTGCAGCACTGACTGTATTTATGTATCTCAGATGGTTGTTTTCTTTCCCAAGGGTCTTCTTCCCACTTTCCCAGATTCTCAAAGTGGACAAATACCAAAGTTTGGGACCTGGCACCTGTAGTGACACTGCTGAGACCAGCAAGACTCTGCTACAATTTCCCTTTGGTCAGACCCAGGGAAGGTGTTACTATCCTTTACAACAGGGTTTTACATTCCAAGATCTCTCCATTTAGGCCTTACCCCATCTCTGTGTAGGACCTTTGCACTAGGGTCTGGAAAGGAGCTGTTAGCCAAGCCAAGCCAAAAGAAAAAAAAAAAAAACCCTGGAAGTCTCGTAGCACCCTGCTGATGGCCCAGAGCACAGTGAGCCAAGCTCCTGACAGGGCGTTCCAACCCTCCCCTCCCAGGAATCCCCACCTCATCTAGAGCTTTGCTGTCCTTCAGCACAGAATCTCTCTGCCTTCCTCTACCTAGAGCACAGCGGGGAACCTCATTTAACGCCTCCTCTTCCTCTTTCTCCCTACAACTCCCCCTCAGAAAGACTTGGAGAGAGAAACATACCTTTCACTCACTGTTATTTTCTTAAACTCTGGAAAGGGGAGGCTAGGCCAGAGTCAGGGGGTGGGGACATTCCTGTGGCCTTCTGAAGGCCAGGGACCCTCTCGTGGAATGCGGCTGGGAAGCTTGGAGCAGCAAGGGATACAGGCAGCTGGCCAACCCCAACACAGATGCATTCTTTTCATGGCAGAAACAACCGCTGTGTATGTGTGTGTATGTGTGTGAGCATGTGTGTGCTCACAGAAGCACACGTGGGGTAGGGGAAGGGACTAGGAGTCGGGCTTCTGGAAAGGGGTGTGTGGGAGGCAAAGAGAAGATGAGAAGGGAATGGAATCAGGGAAGGCAAAGACAGAGCCGGCTGAAGCAGCGTGCAGCCGGAGTCTAATCTGCAGGGAGGCCTCCCTCTGCAGCTAGGACCAGGGTGGAGGTAGGGGAGAGAGAAGCCTGCAAGAGTAAAGCTTCCTATCCTTCTCTATTCTTGGTGAGGCTGGGGTAAGAAGAAACGGGCTGGAGAGAGAGAGCTGGCTGTTCCACACTGGGAAGACTTTCCCGTGAGACAGCCGACTAAGCTCAGGCGCGCTCGCTCTCACTTCTTCCCAAACACTGGCCAGCCCACGCCCAGCTTCTAGCATCTGCCAGAAGGACTTGAGGCTCTTCGAGGAGGTATAACTGAGGTCCGGAACCAGAAAGCGGTAAGTCTGTTCCTAACATTCCCTACATGTTGACACTCACCACGTTGCCCTGATGTGCCCACCTTGCATAATTGTCGAATTTAATTTTCTCACCACTCTGGCCAAGAGCCCATCATCTCTAGTCTAGACTCCTGGGACTTCTGCCCGCTGGAGATATCCTTCACATGCCAGGGAAAGCTTTCTCAAAAGCATGTTTCGTTATGTTTCCCCCGTGGTGCACTGCCATTGGGGTCAGGCAGGCCTAGCCTGCTGACACTCCCAGCCCTGCCATTTTGTGGGACTGTGGGAAGATGGAGGGATGAGATTTTTCTCCCATGTCACATAAAAGGAAACTGAGTCTCCATCATGTTTTTTTACCTCACCAAGTTGATGTGAGAATTAAGTGAGATAACATACTTCCAACATACATGGTAGGGCCACTAATAATAAACCTATTATATGAAGACTTTCTATATGCCAGTCACTATTCCAAGTACTTTGTATGTAGGAAGTCAATTAATCCTCATAGCAGTCTCTTTTTTTTTCAAGCCGGAGTCTTGCTCTGTTGCCCAGGCTGGAGTGCAGCATGTAGCAGTGCAATCTTGGTTCACTACAACCTCCGCACCCCAGGTTTAATTATCCTGCCTCAGCCTCCAGAGGAGCTGGGATTACAGGCATGCGCCACCACACCTGGCTAATTTTTGTATTTTTAGTGGAGACGGGGTTTCACCATGTTGGCCAGGCTGGTCTCAAACTCCTGACCTTGTGATCTGCCCGCCTTGGCCTCCCCAAATGCTGGGATTACAGGTGTGAGCCACTGCGTGGCTGCAATCTCTTGAGATGGACATTATTATTGCCCCATTTACAGATCAGGAACCTGAAGCTCAAATGATTCCATAACCTACACCTGTCACACAATTAAAAGCTTGGGATTGGGGTGATAAGTTCTCAAAATGTTTTTTTAAAGCCTTTCACCTTTCTCTATGATCTCCAAATGTCCCCCACTGTCTATTCCAACAAACCCACACTCTCCAGTATCGAAATGAAACTCTGGCCTGCTCTGGGCCCCTGGGGAATCTGTGCAGACTTCACTGTTACTGGACCCAGAGAAACTCCTGAGCACACAGCTTCATATGATGAAAATGTTGCAAAAATATTACTTGCTTTGGCTGTCCTTCCTTCATCACTGATGTGCATGATAACTTTTTATTACATCTTTAAAATCTTACATTATAAATTGTGACCATAGGAGACAAAACGTTATTTCTCTTTTTACCACAATACAAAATGTTATTTTCTGATGGTGAACAATGAACCTTTCTGCACAGCCTACAGCCTTTGGTTCTGCAGAGCAGTTGGCCTACTCATGTGCAGTTTGTCTTTCTGGCTCACCTCATGGCCACAGAGCACCCACAGGGTACAACTGTGCAGTGCACCTGTCACCAACCTCAACAACCTCAACAACCTCAACAATTCAAACTCAAAGCTTTGAATGCTGCTAACAGGTGGCTCTAAAGCTTAAGTAACTCAGATTGGAGATGTTATCAGAGGCCCAGGAAACTACAAATGGGCTGTGTTCACACTTCATCTTTCCACCTAGATTATAAAGCCAGAGGCAGAGGGAATTTTCGAGATCATCTCACACATGAGCAAACTGAGATACAAGTTGAGTGATTTACAGAGGTTGTACGGCTAAAGCCACACCTGGTTTGGTTAGAGCCTCACCCTTAACTCATCCCAGGCTCTCTAGGTGTTTCTTTGAACACGCTTCCTAATTTGGCAGATCCTAAGCTCTGAGAGGACAATGGCATTTTCTTACTATTCATCTACCTGGTCTGCCATTAGGAGAAGAGCCCTAATAGATAGCTGACCACCTACTTAGCAATCTTGCATCTCTTGACTCTGCATTTGAGCTCACTGAAGCTCAGACACAATGGTACAGTTATGAGTTCACCAAGAGCTAGTCCAACAGGCCCATAGGGTAAAGGTCAGTGTGGAATCCATTCATCCCAGCTTCAAATCCCAGTGAGCCAGCCTAATTGAAACCAGTTACCATGCAGGTGTTTACCTCAAGGACAAAGCTCCTAGTCCTTCTAATAGGACTGTCATTGTGCAGAACCAGAGGCAGGACTTGGTCCAGGCTGTAACTGGCCTTCAATTGCTAGAGGTCTAATGCAACCAAGGGCATCTCTACTCTATGCTCATGAGAGTCCCACAGAGGAATCAACCCCCACCTGTGGTTCTGGGATTGGTGATTATTAGTGGATAATACTCATTAGGGTCTCTCACTGCTTGTCCAGACATGAGGCCAGTGTGTGCAGCTTCCCCCAGAAAGATGTCAAAATGGATATGTCTTGCCATCAAACTCTTTAGTCCTTTGTATACGTTGCCCTGATCTTTACCAAAACCTAGATGCTGGCCCAAGCTCTTTGCTTATTTTTCCATCCTTTCCTTCAAATGGACCCTGTCCTTGAATTCTACTCAGTGTTTGTCTTGCCTGTGACTCCATTAACCCTGGGCAAACACAAATTCCATTTGTAGACGACTTTGTCAACGTGAGCATTACCCCATGCCAAGCGTCTCTCCCAGGGTAGGTGTTCTCCCCATAGACCATGAGCTGCCTGGCACAGCAAACCCACTTTGTACATCCACATGACTGCCCTTACCCGCCACCAAAGAAAAGACCTGGAGTGGAGATCTGCAAACAAGGGGCAGGCGGTCCCTGAGGCTGACTGCCCTACTGTAGAAGAATGGGCCCGCCAGCCCCCTCCCAGATGCTCACCTCATTCAGCTTCACCCAGTTGAAGGACTTCAGTGGGTGGGAAGGCTGGGGGACACGCTTTTTCCTGAGTGGGACGTCACTGCTGGGGTAGGGGTCCTGAGGGAGGGGCAGGCCCATGCCGAGGCAAGGTGGGGCACCTGGGGGAGTCGGGGGTCCCCCGGGAGGAAGGGGTGGTGGTGGTGGAGGGGGACAACAGGCGAAGGGCAGAGGAGGAGGGGGTGGAGGCAGGTCATTGGTTGTCATTGAGGAAGACAAGGTGAGTGGGCCCCCTGGGGGTGGTGGGGAAGATACAGGGCCTGTCTGTGAGGAAACAGAAAAATCGCAAGGACAAAGCCATTAGCACCGATGCCATTCGGGTCTCCCACCTTGATTCCTCTCCTTACTCCTAGTCTCCTTCCATACTAGACCCCAAATCCTACCCTTAACCTTCTACACGCATTTGGCCCCATTTTCTCTCTCTGCATCCAAACATCTAACACACACAAACACACACACACCACCATCCCCACAGACAGACACACAAGTCACACACACGGGCAGTGGACAATCAGAGTCATAGCCATCACGATGCAACAGCAGGATTGATCTATGCAGTTGTGTAGGTTACTGACTGCACAAGGTCTCCAGCTGAGAGGGAAGTGGATCCAATTCCAGCTGCACTCTGCTGTCCAAGGTGTGCTTCCTGGGACAGTGTCACCCAGAGGAAGGGACATTATTTTTCTAACTAACACAAAGGTGCCACCTGTACAGCCTCGAGGGTCTCTTCTATCCTGGCCCAAGGTCTCCATCTCTCTTCTCCCTCATGCTGGGCCTTTCCCACACCTGCTCTGGCCACCCTGTCCTGAAGCCCAGGTTCTTGGCTCAACTATGGAAAGGGGGAGATGTTTGCGTACTGAGAGTTCGCTGAGCTGGGCTACCAGCTCTGCCACTTGTCCCCGAGCCTGGCGCAGCTCCTGGGACTCCCGGGCCAGCTTGTCCTTCATTTTGTTCAGCGTCCGCATCATCTCTTCCTTCTCCAATGTCTTTGTCTCGCATTCCCGCTCCTTCCTCTCCAGACGGCTCACAAGCTCCATATGTTCTGGAATGGGGGTGGGACAGGAGAGGAAACAGGAGGAGAGAATGTGAGTAATGTGGCCCCTTCCCTGGAAGGACATGGAGTTATGGGCTGGGCAGGGGAAGGGCATGTGGAGTGGACAGCGGGCTTAGGCAGAACCCCTCACCTTTCCGGAACTTCTCTGCCTGGTCTCGCCACTGTTTCACTTCGTTCTCGTTGATGAGCCTGGCAGGGCATAGAAGGAAGGGGCAATGTGATTGTTGACCACTGACTCACAGTTTCCCAGGAGACACCACCTCTCTACCCTCCAGGTGGGGACCCTGGTCTCCAATCTGTCCAGCCACATCAAGGAGGCTAGGATTTAGACTTCCCGGGTGTCTCTCCAGGTCCCCTGCCCCGTTCACATTATGTGTCTGTGGAGACCGTGAGAGAAAAGACCTTTAGATACCTTATAACCTGGCCCCTTTGTGATACAGCTGGAGCTACTGAGGCTCAGAGAACAGGGGTAGATTAATTAATGGTAGAACTAGGACTGAACCTCAGGCTCCCAAGAGTTGTATCATGACTTGTACCTCCTTGTAAAAATAGGTTTACCTTTAAAAGAGATCAAAATATTGGCCCTACCACGGTCCAGGTTTCCAAAGACCAATGTGTAAGAGCAAGAGACATCACCCACACCAGCAATACAGACTGAGTGTGTTCAGGGTGACACAGACGACAGCCTTGTTCATGCCAAGCTCTTGAAACTGTTCAAATTTAGCTTTTACCTTGACACCAAGGCCTAACAGAGGTGAAATCCCAAAGCGAGATCCCAAGAATCATTTCCTTTACAAATCTGAGAATGTGGAAGAGTTAGACCCATGACGTTTAGACCCAGGACACAGAGAACAGAGTATGGAGAGGGAGATATTTGGTGAAGACATTTCTTTGAAGAGGGCCACTGCTATTATCCCCAAGATGCTACCTCCTTCATCACCATCCAGGGAAGGGGTTTCTTTGGGCCCTCTCCTAGAGTTCTGATTCATGTTCCCTGAAGTTGGGAGGGAGACAGGGTAGACTGGGGCCCTACTTGGAGCCAAGCAAAGCCCTGGGAGCAAAAGAAAGAGAACATTGCTGTGCGGGGCCCTGCCAGCACTCCTAGAGTTTGTTGGCACAAGAGATTGCATGAGGGTTGCCCATGGGTCAGATTTAAGCCTCGTGGAGGAACTGGGGTGCAGTTATTACAGTCCCGTGCAAGGGGAGCTGTTTCCACCTGAGCGAAAAGTGGGAACATCTACACCATAAGTCTACAGGCACTGGACTGCCAGGGAACCAGGGGCTGACGGAAGGGCTGGAAGCAGCCAGCCAGCTGGAACAAAAATCTGGCATGGCCAGCGAGCTAGGTTTTGTAGTGAGAGGCACCCAGCAAGGAACTCCTGAAGATTCCAGGAACACACTGATGTCTTTAACCATATGCCAAGGTGAGAGAGCAGGAAGCCTGTTTACTAAATTACCTTATCAAGTAAGACCTTTTCCCTTTTTCCTTCCTGTTCCCCAGGCTGCCTCTTCAGAGGGTCAGATGGGTTAACAGAAAGGAGGGGTGGGAGATAGAAGGGGTTACAGGGTAAACAGAACAGAGAAAAGGCAAATATCACACACAGACATATGTGTACACATATGCACATACACACGCATACATACACACCCATTCCAGTTTCCTGGCCCTGGCTGGTGGAGGAGAAAGATTTAAGGCTAAATCATATCTAGAATGTCATGATTTTTGTCGTCCTAGTTGTAGATTTCAGACTGTGTTGCACTTGAAAGTGATCTTAGGACTTCTGTTACCCAAGAAGGGGTAAAAACTTCATTGGACCTGAGGAGTTTTTAATCCTCTAGCAGTGGAAAAGATTGCCTACTAAATAGTGTAATGAATTAGTAAGAAATAAAACTAAAGTTACCTTTTGATCACTTTCCCAGTTGCACTTGTCCAACATACCAATTAGGATTTTAACTACATCAACATCTGACTATGCAAATGAAAATAGTAGCAAGAATAGCTGGAAAATAATTGTCTACTTGGCTTTGGAATGCAACATAATGAATCGAGAGCCAATTTATCTCCTTTAAGGGCAAGTGGCTCAAACTCATACTGAAAGTTAAGTAAAAGCTTAAAATTAAAAATTAGTATGTTAATGTAAGGCCTTCTTATTAACTGATGTAAATTTAAATTTGTTTCTCTGTGTCTCTCTATCCAAGGTCAATAAACTATGGTAAACCAGAAGGCCTTAGGCTCTGACAACCTTATCCGGCAACCTCATGATTGAATGGTCAGGTTCTACGTCAGTGGTCAGCAAACTTTCTACAAAGGGCCAGAGTAAATATTTTAGGTTTTACACACCATGCACAGTCTGTGTCACTTATACTTGTGTTTGTTGTTTAAAATGTAAAAATTATTATTAGTTCATGGGCCATACACAAATAAGCTGGAGGACTGGAGTCAGCCCATGCACAATAGTTTGCTGACCCTCGTTCTATGTTAATGTGTTTAAATTCCCCATCTATCCAACCCATGCAGTGGATCGTCGAGAGTCGAGAACATGCCCAATACACCTGTGCTGGCTGTCCAAGAGAATAATCACTAGCCACGTGTCATGTGGCTATTTAAATTTAAATGAAACAACCTTTAAGGTTCAGTTTCTTGGTCATACTAGCCATGTGTCAAGTACTCCATAGCCACATTGAACAGTAACGAAATGGCACTTTTTTCATTAGCTTAGAGAGTTCTGTTGGACAGTGCAGCCCCAGACTCATCTGGGGATGACTGGGTTGTGAAAGGGAGCTGAGGTTTCGCTGGTGAGACCAGAGAGAGATGAGGAAGGTGGAGGAAGACAGGGCAAAGGCTGGCCACTGCTCACATGTTGACGATGTTCTTGACATTGAAGTTCTCCAAGGGAGCCAGGTCAGGGTCCACACCCCGCTCATCCTGGAGGACAATCTGCTGGAGGATGCGGTCCAGGAGCTGCCACTGCTGGAAGTAGCCACCGTTCCGTTTGTCTGGGGGATGACAGGTATCATATCTTTCCTGAGCCCTGGAGTCCCCTAGGGCCCCACCCTAGAGTCACTGCCTGGGCTCTGGCTGGTGAGGCATGCCCTTCTTCACCCATGGTAAGCTCCCAGTCTAGAGGAAGAGGCAATGCCATTGCTGATAATGGCAACTCGCTGATTCAGTCATCTCTTGATTATCAGCAACTAGACTTCTACGGATGCGTCAGCCACCTCCCCAATATACTTCTCTACTCGCTGAAATACTTTCTGGCTGCCTTTCTTCCTTGTTTGGACCCTAAGCATACTATGCCCAGGAAATGCAGATTGCTTTTTACATTATCTATAAAAACCACCTGCTCCAAAATATTACATGCTGAATAATGAAGTCTCCAGGGAAGTTTTTTTAAAAAAAAGATTTTAGTATTATCTACACTATTACTCTACAGAGAGAGATGAAGGGAAACTGATTACAGGTGTGCACTGAGAATCAAAATGAGTTAGAGAAGTGCTTAATGGAATTCGAGAAGATTTCTTGTGGAAGTGACCTTGAACTATGAAGGTAAAGGCAGAGTGTGTTGTGTGTGATCTCATAGACTCTCACTCTCATCCCCTCTAATGATAGTCATCTGGCTGGACATGGACTTCCTTTTTATGTAATAACCAAAAACTCTCTTTCCTTGGTCCTTAATCCCTAGCACTTTATCTCTATTGACCATCATAAAAATCCAACAAGTTCAATCCTGACAGCAAAGCAAACCACAATGCCTACAAGGTAGAATACTGAGTCTGCAAAGTCCCATTTTGGGGCAGAGTAGAAGAACCCATTCACATTGCCCATGGAACAGGAAACAGAGGAATCCCTGGGAGCACAAGAAGTCAGGTTTCCCAGAGATGTATATATCCTCCATGAAGACCTTCTGCAATGAGCTTTGGAGAACTGATAGCTTCTTAATTCAGGTCACTGCATCTATCCTGTCCACCAGTCTACTGACACATGCATCGCAAAGTGGTATCATTTACCGTCTACCTTTCACCCAGCAAAATCGTGTAAAGCCAGGTCACTAGCTCACAGAGGCAGAACATGTTTTATCTCAACCCTTGACCCCACAGAAACCAAAATTCTTTCTCTATGTAAATATCTCGCTGAGCCTCAGGTTCATTCACTATTCAAATGGATATAATGCGTATTCCTTAGGTCTTTCTAAGGTTCAGAGACGATGTGCTAAAGGACCTCACATCATGCCTGGCCCAGAGTTGGCACACAATAAGTCACAGTTGCCATCACTGTCACTATGATTGCTGACACCACCAACATCAACCATTATGGTGGGCCACACGTGTTTTCAAAATATTCTCTTTGTGAAGAGCTTAAGTACCAAGGGGTACCGTTAAAGCTCATTTCAAATTGCATTCTGGAGTGGCTATTAGCAATTATGTACAATTTATTCAATCACTGTGCACACCTGGATCTTAAGAACTTAGCCACCTGCTCCCGTAGATGCTGACATTTGGTATTTGTAGGCAGAAGCAGGGGCAAGAGTGTAAGAGGGGAAGCCAACAAGGACTAGATAAAGGAGTTGATAAAACCTTAAGAAAAAAACAACCATGTTCATTCCACATCTGTGCTACTCCCCTAAGCACAAAACTTTTTGGAACTCCCCAACATGACTGATCTCTCCCCCATCATGAGCTGAACGCTGAGCTATTTAATTTTGCAATGATCAAGCTACTGTTTCTGGACTAGGATGTCGGAGTTTCTCAGGGGCAAGTCCCCAGCTCCTTCCCCACATGACAGTGGAGGACCTGGCCCCAAGGAGGGAAGGAAAAGCAGGGGCCTCTGTCATGGGGCCTGGCCTCCCAAGAGCAAGTGCACAGGGAGATATGGTCACACTCCCCAATCCAGGGAGGTCCTAAAGTCTTGTCTCAACCTGCCCCAAGTCAAGGCTCAGGCCAGTTGAGGGAAGCAGCAAGTACAGGGTACTCACAAGGCATCTGCAGGCAGTGGTGCAGCACAGAGAGCAGGCAGGGGTAGGCCTCTGTGTACTTCAGCTTCCTGTGGATCAGCTCGAACATCTGGGAAGCACTCTTGGTGTCGATGTGGACCTGGGAGAGAAGAGGGCACAGTGATTGGGGGGTAGGCAGCAGAGGAAGTCAGCAGGAGAGAGAGACCCTGCTTCCCTCCACTACGCCCTGTCTCATAGGAGAGGTTTTCTTCCCCTGCCTCTGGCCCAGGCTTAAAAAGAGAGAGACAAAAGGAAGAGGGAGATAGTCAATTATGTAAACTAGAGTTTCTCTGTCTCAGCACTATTGGCATCTTGGGTCAGATAATTCCTCATTGTGGGGGCTGGGGGCCGTCCTGTGCATTGTAGGTTGTGTGTCAGCACCCCAGCCTCTCCTTAGCAGATGCCAGTGGCACCCCCTCACACAAGTCAAAATGTCTTCAGATGTTGCAAATGTCCCCCGGGGGAGATGAGAGCAAACTCGCCCCTGCTTGAGAACTACTGATCCAAACTCAGGGAAGGGAGCAGGGGCATAGAAGTTTCAAAGTAGCAGGTGGCATGTGGCGCAGGTCCACCACCTGGGTTCAAACCCCAGATCTACGCTTTAGTTGTGCGATGACAGGCAAGCTGCTTATCCCCTCTAACCTCTGTTTCTGTATCTATAAATCCAGGGCTTTTGTGAAAATATAATGGGATGCACTCAGTGACTGTAAAGCACCACCCAAAAGTAGCTTTCTATTTGGATAGGGATTTTATAATACAATAAAGCAGAGTTGTGTGCTTTCAGGGTTGCTGAGGCTAAAATGAAAATACAATTTAGTTTACTAAGCATGATCTGGTTAGGGATGGGGAGAGGGGACTCAGGAAGTTGCTGGAAGGCAGGGGAAAGTCAGCCCAGGAAAGGTATTTGAGACTAATCACATGTAATAACTTGCTCCCTTTCCTTTGGGGGTTTCAGTCTCCTCCTAGGCTGATGCCTTCCCAGGGGAGGCTTCCACAGCCAGCATACTGCCAAGGCTCTGGAAGTGGGATGTGATGGTTCATTTTAGGGGTCAACCTGATTGGATCAAGGGATACCCAGATAGCTGGTATGCTCAGAAAGCATTCTTTCTGAGTGTGTCTGTGAGGGTGTTTCTCAAAGAGACTGGCATTTGAGTCAGAGGACTGAGTAAGGAACATCCCACACCAGCTCCACCACAGCACAGGGCCTGGAGAGATGGCTGTGGGGCCACCTAGAACCCTACTACCATACTGCCATCGCTCCATCCTGTGGGCTGCTCATCATCCAATTAGCTTAGGGTCTGGAGGAACAAAAAGGCCAATGAAAGGTGAATTTTCTGTCTCCCTCTTCTGGAGCCAGGACACCCTTCTTTTCCTGCCCTTGGACATCAGAACAGTAGGCTCTCCAGCTTTTGGACTCCAGAACTTGCTCCAGTGGCCCCTTAGGTTCTGAGGCCCCTGGCCTTAGACTGAGCCATGCTACTGGCTTCCCTGTTTCTCCATGCAATAACTCCGGCCTGTCATGGGATTTCTCAGCCTTCATAGTTGTGTGAGCCAATTCGCCTAATAAATGCTCTCTCATCTATCCATCTCTATATGTATCCTATTGGTTGTGTTTCTATGGAGAACTCTGATCACAGGACCTGGCCATGGGGGTGCCCACCAGGGAACCAGCCCACACCAGCCGTGCCACAGCACAGGGTCTAGAAAAGTGGCTCTGGGGCCACCAGGAACCCTACTGCCCTATTGCAATCGCTCCACCCTGCCGGCTCCTCACCATGTCAAACCTCCTGGCTAGCTCCAGGTCATCCTCATTCCGCACCATCTCGAAGAAGTCTAAATGTCTAGACAGAATGGGGAGGCAGAGAGATAGATGTTACAGCCAGGACACACCCTTGGTTGAGGGTTACAGCCCCTTTGAGCCCCCCACTGGCTAAATCTGAAAGCTTCATTCAAGCAAAGTGAAGGCAAAATGGGAAAGAAGCTGCTGTTTGTAGGACACCCATTGTCTGACCTTTATAAGATCCCATGACCTTCCTTCGGGGAGGCCAATCTAGGGTCCCTTCACCTTAGAATGGGCTTCTATACTTCGGCACTACTGACATTTTGGGCTTGCTTATCCTTGGTTGTGGGAGGTTGATCTGTGAGGATGTTTAGCAGCATCCTCAACCTCTACCTCCTAGATGCCAGCAGGACCCCCCAGTGTGACAACCAAGAATGTAATGTCTGCAGGCATTGCCCAGTGTCTCTCAGTTGAGGACATCAGCCCTATGTCTATTTTCCCCAGTACTTTCATAGGGTCTCCAAGTCAGTCCTCAAAACTGATCTCTCCCTCATTTTCTATCCTCATGCACACATCCACTCATTCCACCTCAAAAGGATCCATTCTCTGTCCCTTAAAACCTAGTGTAATAAAATAGCCTAAATGAATGGAACAGAACCAGTGGGGCCTCACTGGTACCACATGGGAACATAATTGTGCCCTTGGATCAACAAGGGCTTTATAGCAAGCATTTTGGGTGGGACATTTCTTTGTTGAGCAGAAAGGTTCTGTGGGACATTTAGCATTCCTGGCCCCCAACAACCAATACCAGTACTGCCCACCACCAACCAGTTTGAAAACCAAAGAACACCCTCACATATTTCCATATGCCCCCCAGGGGGCAGTACTGCGATGGTTGAGGGCTACTGGGTTCACCTGTCTATAACATCGGAGATGAGACAAGCCGGTCAGCAAAGAGGACAGGCAAGGACACCCCTGCCCCCCACAGAACTGATTCTGAATCTATGCTGGGTATGGCAGCTGGCCTCCAGAGGGAAGGGCAGCCTTCACAAAGGTCCCAACCATCCCCATCTGAGGCACTGTCCCCGCAGGTTTGCAATGGAGACGGTTGCTTGGACCTTACTTGTCCAGGATGGCATTTTCATGTTGCCGGAGCTTGTCAATCACAGGCTGTATCCCCAGCATCAGGAATTCATACCGTAGATGTAGGCGGAACTCCAGATTATCCTGGGGGTCACGAAGGGAGGGCCAGACTCATTGGCAGATCTCAATTTCCACAACATCCCCAGTGGAGCCCTCATCACCACCCTAGCCACAGACCCAGCACACCTCCCACGGCTAACTCACCTGGAGCTGCTTCAAGTCCCAGAGCTCCAAGAAAGAACAGAGACCTTATTTCTTAGTCTAAAGCAAGCCCAGCTTCTTTTAGGTCTCCTGCCCCACTTCCTTCAAGCCCCTTGCCAGTTTTTGCCTTCAGCATCAAAGAGCAGTGTTGTACAGTGACATGGAGCACAAGCTTTGGAATCAGATAGATCTTGGATCTGGTCTTGTGACCTTGGGAAAGCTTTTAGTTTCCCCATTTGTGAAATGGTCATAACATGACTAATCTACAGGGATGACACTTGTTACAATTCCCTGATGAGGTGTGGTTACCAGCTAATCAGAGCACATGACAGCCATGAAAAGCTGGTACCAACAAAGGTGATGTTAGCACCTGAGGGGAAGATTATTCCCCCAACTGGCCTTCCCTAACCCAGGGCATAAGGACAAATTGTTTTTTAAAAAAAAAAAAAAAAAAAAAAATGTTTTCCTAGCAGAAAAAAAGGGAAAGTAAAGATCATTAAATTGCTCCCTTTGCCCCTTTTGTCCTTCAAGTTAACCTTGACCAGGGCATCTGATTGCCTTAGAATTTGGAATGTTCACCTGCTTTTCAAGTTCTTCTACTGTTGCTTTTTTTTTTTTTCTTTGAGACAGAGTTTTGCCCTTGTCCTCTAGGCTAGAGTGCAATCATGCAATCTCGGCTCACTGCAACCTCCGCCTCCCAGGTTCAAGTGATTCTCCTGCCTCAGCCTCCCAAGTAGCTGGGATTACAGGTGACCGCCACCACACTCACCTAATTTTTGTATTTTTTTAGTGGAGACGGAGTTTCACCCTGTTGACCAGACTGGATTCAAACTCCTGACCTCAGGTGATCCACCTGCCTAGGCCTCTCAAAGTGCTGGGATTACAGGCATGAGCCACCACGCCCGGCCTGTTGCTATTTTTATACTTCAAGAATCCCATTCTGACCCCAAAAGTAAGGGAGACCAGAAGGCATACCTAACAGAAGGCACTAGAAGAACATGACCAGCCAACCAGAAAACAGTCCAGAAACAGCTCCCTACAAACAAGGTCCCAAACTCGCCCTCCTCCCACCAATGATTCCCCACCGCCCTGAGCCAGCATCAGCCAGCTCAGCTCTGGGTCTGTTCACAATGCATGATGCTACCTATGCAGGCAACTCCCCAGGAGCCCTCCCGGGTTTAATATCAAAATCAATTATTGGGGAAGCAACACACTCACACACTCTACCCCAGGTCCAGAAAGTCAGGGAACAGCAAGGGCAAGGAGAAGGCACCCCACCTCTCCAGCTCCAGCATTGAGGACTGCATTGATGAAGGACATGATGGCTGTTTTCAGATTCACTTCATCCCGGTACCGGCCCAGACTTCGGTCTAACTCGTTCAGCAGGGTCTAGGTGGAAACACAGGACACAGCAGGAGAGGGCTGAGTCCCCCTCCAAGTGTGGCCTTTTTGTACCTTTACTCCTGTCGCCTCCACTACCTAGAATACCCCATCTGCTCTCTCCATCTAATCAGGTCTGTCCAATTTACTCTGGGCTGCCCCAAACCTCACCTCTGCCTAGAAAATTCCCTTGCCTCTCCTCACCTCAGTGGCAGTGTTGCCTCACTTCCTCTCCACTCAACCTTTGGGGCTTGGTCTACATGGTTGAGCAGTGCTTCAGTGCCGCTTTATCATCGTGCTCCAGCTGTTTACAGCTCATATGTATTCCCTGCCTAGCTCCTTTATGGTATGAACGCTGCTTGTATCCCTTTTCCATCTTCTGCAGAGTCAGGACCCAGTTTTGGGCAATAAACCATAGGGTTTGTAACATCAGTTCCCATCTCTATGGACTTACTCTGTGCCAGGCACTGTGCTAAGATACTTCATATTTACGATTCATCTCATTGACACTTTTCTGGGCAGGTCAGGGAAAGAAAAGAGAATAGCATGGCTGAAGCCCCCAGGGATGATCCCAGTGTTCCACGTTAGGCATTGGCTCAAGCATAGCACCTAAAATCTCGATCTCAGCAATTGCACTCAATTCAACAATTCTTGACTGAGCCCCTATCATGAGCCAGGTGTTGAGGTTGGAGATGTAGAGCCCCAAAAATAATGCAGGCCAATATTCCAGCTTCCAGGAACCCACTGACTAGTAAGGAGGACAAGTCCATTTCCCACCCAAACTCATAACTCTTAAGGCCCTGCATGTGTTTTTATACAAGCCTTCGAGGTCCCAGTACTCTTCGCCTGTTACCTTCCAGGAGCAGGCATGCAGACCACATTACCTTCCTTTTCCCCCAGTTTCTGCTGCAAAGAGTCTTCAGGCTCTCACTCACGTGTGACATCCTCCGTCCCACCCAGCTGGCATCCCGCCTCCAGCCAGGCCCCTCACCTGGAAGCGGGTTCGCTCCGCTGCGTACACCTGATAGTGCAGCATGGCCTGCAGCACCTTCTTGTGGCCACCAGGCACGAGGCACACAGCACCCAGGATCTCCAGCACAGCCACCTTGGTCTTGCTGTTCTCTGTGCGCAGGCTCTGGGCTATGGTACTAATGGCCTCAGGCTGTGCCAGCACATGTGCCCGCCCCTGGGAGTTGTTCATCAATGCTTTGATGCAGCCGATGAGCGAGGTGTGGATGCGGCTCTCACAGGTGGCATGGTCCATGCTCCGGAGAAAATTTAGCAGACAGGTCAAACCCTCCAGCTCAATGAAGCGGGTCACAAACCTACAAATCAGAGCCATTAACAAATAAAATGTATTGTATTTGCATATGATTCTGCGTACACTTTGCAAATAGTTACCCACTTACCTGTGCACCACCATGCACCTTGTCCCACCTACAGTAGCTACTTGGCTTATTTGTAGTTTATCTAAAGCACTGAAATCCTATCATCTTCACAAAAGACTTGTGTCTTATTTGCATTTTAAATACTGTGCTTTTGCATATCATTGTCAGTTGCATGGCTAAAATAGTATGAATGTGAAGGGGATGATCATGATAATTATCAGAGCTGTTAAACCTCAACACTCCTCTCCAGTGAGGATGGAGATGAAGAGAATTACAGTCAGATAATAAAGAGGACTTCCAGATAGGAAGGCCATCAGAGTCATCGAGTCATGGGGTTAAACCTAGGGAAGCTACATTTCAAGGGATCCTAAAGAAAATAGCAGAGTTATCTATCTTGAATGTTAGCAAAAAAAAGAAAAAAAAATTAAAACCCATTTAGCTCAGGGGTTCTTAATTTGGAGTCTGTTCTGCTGAAGAATCTATGGATAGCATTCACAGATCCAAGGACTTGGGTGGGAAAAGAAAATTACATTTTTATTTTTGGTAACTTCTAATTAAAATTTAGCATTTTCCTCAATGACGAATATCGGCAATAAATGACAGTAGTAGTAAATGACAGTAGCATAATCTGTGACTCTGTCACCCCAAGAAATCACAGCTATTTTCATACCAAATTACAGTTGTACCAGGTATCTCAAAGTACCATTTGCACTCCTCAGTACTTCAAAATTATGATGGTTATCAGACTCGCAGGTGGCTCTTGCTATTTAAGGTATAAAGAAGCACAATTCATTGCTATCTCACTTTTATTATTTGTAGCTGTATTTTCATTATTTGTTCATCCTATCTTTGTATCTATTATTTAAAACATCATTCCTGAGAAGCAGTCCATAGGTTTCACCTGGGTGCCAGATGTCCATGGCATGCTCACACACACAGGTACCCTTGATTTAGTAAAATAATTAATGATCTAAGAAAACTATTATAAATAACATTACTTATCCCAAGTGTATTTGTGTTTATGTTATTATACAAATACGCCTAGAAAATAAAAGAATGTGCTCTCAGACTAAGTTGTTAACAATAGGTATTTTTTTATTTTTTTCTGTTACATGCTTTTCTGCATGCCATAAACTTTCCACAATGACAACGTGTGACTTTTGTTATCAGAATATTATTAAGGGAAATTACAATAAGTTGGGGTAGGAGACAAACCTGGCAACTTCCCTTCAACCCCTGTATTTCCTGACTACCTCATCCTTTCCTCTCTCCCCTTCCCATTCCAGAACCCCACCACTACCAGAATGACAAGAGACAATTAGGATGCTCCCATTCTTCTTGAGGCTGTGTCTAGTCTCCTGGGAAGAGAGCTCAGCTCAGACAACATAGACACCCCCACGCAATGGATGGCTAGCTCTTTGCCAGGGGAAGAGTGGAGGGCGGCTCCTGATTGTTTACTCATTTCCATGGTGTAAATGCTCCCAGCATAGCCAATTTCAAGCTACAGACTGATGTCACTGAATGCAGAGTTGGGAAGAGATGCATATTTCATAGTGTTTCCATGCACATACAATGCATGTAAACTCAAAAATATACATTATAGTAAATGTAGAAAAATAATTAGGTAATTTGGGAGTGAAGAGTTTCAAGTAGTTATTACCTTTATTTTAATATAACTTATTGAATCTTAAACTTATATAATTGAAATTTTAATCATAGCTACGTTTAACAACCAGCTTACAAAATTGCTGAAAATCTGACAGTCGGCATTCGCCAGCTGGTACAAGCCAGTTCCAGCACACCACGGGGCAGACCCAAACACAAGGAGACCCACTTTGGGCCCCACACATTGTGGTCTGGGAAGGGAAAGGGGTCTTCCCATGGCTCCAGGACTTCTACTGCTTTTCCCATTCTAGATGGCAAATCCCATCCAGAGACACCACACCCCCCCCTAGTGGCTGGAGTACTTCTCTACCTGCGCGTTCCTCCTTTCCTGGATGGGGCGCTCACCCTGCCCCCTCATCCTCAGACGGCTCTTTCTTATGTACCTTGTCCATTTGGTCACCCTCCTATTCTATCCCCTTACCAAAAATAAATCAATAAATTTTAGAAAGCACTTGCCCTCGATTCCTCTTTAGAGAGCTCCTCAGGACCTGAGGTTTATCCCACTTTCCCAGGCTTCTCTCCCCTCCTCCCAAGCCCTGGCAGCCTCCCAGGAGAGGAGTAGGGGCTGGGAAGTGAAGTCAGGTGAAGCAGAGTTGGCCAGGAGGACCGGCATGGGAGCAGAGCACTGCACAGGGCTTCAGGAAGGCAAGGAGACCAACTGTGAAGGGACATGGCAGGAAGCAAAAGGGGGAAACTGAGTTACCTCATAGGCTGTGTCCGGAGGGCCGTCTTCAGGTCTTCCACGACTTGGTTCCTCATCTCCGTCTCCTCCTCATCAAACGCGTACAGACTTTGCATCTGAGGGCCAGCAGGTAGAAGGGGGCAGAAGTCACGCTGGGCTGCCTGTCTCCCAACCCCCTGCACTCCAGCCCAGGTATGACCCAGGGGCCATGCTTGCCTCAGAAAGGGTGAGGCCTCGGGAAATGGTTTACTGAGACCGAATGTTGGCCCCTGGGAAGACCTAGATTCTGGGCTGGGACTTCACTTTCCTCATCTGTGAAATGGGGAGAATTACTGGCCCGGTTTATTTCCCAAGTTTGTGTGATGCCCACATGGATTTTAAAATGTTTAAATGGTTGGGGGACTCTGAGATTGCACAGAGGAGGGGTGGATTACCTTAAAATTTCATGAATAACTGGAAAGCTGAACTCCAGTGAGTGGGCAGTAGGGCGCTGAGGAGCAGGAAAAGGCAGTTTGGTGTGTCAGGGGTGGGGGCTGGGGGGATCACTCTCTGCCTTAGCCTTTCCAGGTCGGGGCAGGGCAGGAGAGGGGCGGCCACTCACCGCAGCCATGGAGTTGATGCGGTCAATGTAATAGTCAGGCCAGCTGGTCGCCAGCTTGTTGGGGTCCTCCTGCTCCTGAAACAAGAAAAAGGACAGCATGGACCAACAGACAAGGCAGGCCCGCGGCCTGAGATCCTGAGCTTCATTCAATGTCAGCAGAGGGATTCATTTCACAGCTCTGCCCACGTGGGGTGGGCTGGAGGAAATTACATGCTCTCCCAGGCTTCCATTTCTCCCTTGGTGAAATACAGATGATGAACATTGACTCTCATGGCCAGCCAATGACACGGGCAGAAACCATGCAGGTGTATGTACTGTCAGTGAGCAACATGCACCATTTTTTAAAAATTCTTTTCTCTTGTTCTGTTTGCTCAGCTTGTAGTTAACGAAATATAATTTCCTGGCTGTTAAATCTAATTCGAATTTGTGTTTATTTTTATACATCTTTTTACTTTCTCTGATAATCTCATTCTCATATTTTACAAAAGTATTGGTCTGTGACAGTTGGGAAATTTAAAAACTTAGTCTTTCAGGTAGTTCTAGAACACTAATAGAAAACACTTGGCGCATAATAGGCACTCACTAAATAGTAACTTTAGAAAAATAGAGAAATTTCCAAGGGGTTGGGTTTTGAAAAGACTCAGGAGACCCCCTTAGGCCTGTGATTTAATTCCTGGCAAACTCCCGAATGAGGGGAATGTGCAGCAGGGAGGCAGAGCCCAGATCCGAGGACCTCTGGCCCAGTGCTCAGCCCTCAAGAGACAGGCTCGACTCTTCCCCAAGTAAGGGCAAGAATGATGGGAGTTAAAGAATTATTCATGTTGACTGAAAATCCAGCCTTCTCCAGCCAAATGGATCTGCTTCTGGGCCTCACACCCGTCCTGCTCATTCCTGTTCCTGTGCCCCGGGTCACTTTGGAGGCTCCTCCCCACCTGCTTTCTCCACTGCCCTGCTTCCAAATCGGCATGAAAACTTTAACCTCCTCCAGACCCTCCCTGACAAACCACCTCTCCACCAGCTGCCAGCGGGCCCTGCAGCTCTCAGCTCCATCCACTCGATGTTTTCTATTTCGTTTCACAAAATACAAATTTTAGACCAGTAGGAAAGCTGCTTTGTTTGGGTCTTTATGACTTCACATGGTTAAATGTTAAATTTAACCATGGTTATACGTGTTAAATTCTCCATGACTGAAGGCCAAACATTCTGTCTTCTGCCTTGGGGCGGGGAATCAGCACCAAAAACAATTGCGTCGGCAAGCACATCCTTTCCTGCACTTGCTGGCTCGTTTACCCGTGCCATGTGCACTGAATGGGGACCTACTACATGCCAATCACCATACTGAGCTCTGCAGGTACGGAGTACGGACTAAAGAGTCATGGTCTCTGCCTTCCATGTACTGCCAGTCCAGTACCAGAGAAAGGGTGGTCAATGTTCTACGGTAGAGCTGCCCATAGCAGACCTTGGAGGGTGATCCATCCAACACAGAAAGCTGTAGGGGGTGGGAGTGAGTGGTCTAAGAACACTAGGTTATTAAAGAGTATTACAGCTAAGACAGGTGGGGAGGGTGTTATAGACAGAGGAAGTGCCATGTGGGAAGGCGGAAGGGTGTGAAAGTGTGTGGGGAAATTACAGTTTGGTTTGGAAGGCAGTAAGAGATGCCCTTGTATTTTAATAATTTTTTTTTTTTTTTTTTTGAGACGGAGTTTCACTCTTGTTGCCCAGGCTGGAGTGCAATGGCATGATCTCAGCTCACCACAATCACTTCCTGCTGGATTCAAGTGATTCTCCTGCCTCCGCCTCCTAAGTAGCTGGGATTACAGGCATG